GGGGGGGGGGGTTAGTTTTGAGTATCGAAGAACATTCCTTGAGGCTATCGAGTATAGGAGATTAAATTGGAAGGGGTGTAGTTTGAAAAAGAAGAGAGAGGAAAAGGAAATTGGCGGCTAAATGTTTTAAGATTAAAGAAAGTCTTTTAGATTCCATAACTTTAAACTAATATAAGTATGGACCATATGTAACGTTTGGTTTGGGTTACTACTTTTTTTCTCGACTCGAATTCAAATTTTCTAACCTTCTTTGCTAGACTTTTGTGAAATGAAGAATAAGAAAAGGTTTAATCCTGCAAAGACAGAGTAGTGATCAACAAAGAACAGTTTGAATTACGACATCACAAGTTTGAATATAATGTCCTTTTAATTATTAACCTCATTAGGTCGTTTGACATTCCTCTTTTGTTTTTCAAGTTTCTTTTAATGTATTCTTTTGCCTAGAATGAAACTACGTTTACTATTATCGTAAAAATGTAATGGTAATGGTTAGCATCTTAACATAAAAAATATCTCTAGATCATGGATACAAAATATGTAGGGCTAGATTTTTATCCCTTTTATCGTTTCTCAAAATGACAGCGTCAATAAGACATCTAACACACAATCCTATTACTCAATTACCGTATAATTGTGGAGTTCAGAATCAAAATGTGGTTCTTTTGGATTCAAATGACAAAAAAAAGTAGAAAAAATTGACTATCATTTAATATATAACGCGGTTATTCACCGCGCTATACCTTAACGACACGTTTGTCCGTTAAGGTATATCGCGGTGAATAACCGCACGCTATATTTGAACTCAAAATTGGCGGGAGATATAGCGCAAATGTAACGCCTCGCGCTATATTTGAACTCAAAATTGGCGAGGGGTATAGCGCAAATGTAGCGCCTCCTATATATGTGCTATACCTACTTTTAAAAGCGGGTCATCTCCTTCCCCGACCACAAACCAGCAGCACACCCAAATCCCCAAACCAGCCCCCCTATTTTTTAAGCAAAAAAACTCCATTGGAGCCCACCCGTCCCACAAAAAGTGTATCTTCTCCGTATTATAGCAAGCTAACACCGGATCCAAGGCGTTGTCGTGTAGTGGATCTCGTATATTACTCGTTTCGGCCCCAAATCATTAAATTTTCACATTTCAAAAAACTTTAAATCGAGGTATTCCGACTTACTTTTTGGTAAAACTCATGTATATAAAATGCTTAGTAGTTATTTTTTACTATGGTCTATGCCTTTTTGTGATCATTTTGTGATTTAATTAATTTGTTATTTTTTATCCGGTTTAGATTATTTATGTGCTAAAAAATTAGTAAAAAAGATAAATTATTATTTTATGAATAATTAATGTTATATGTGATTTTAATATTGTACGTATATTAATATGTGACTTTATTGTTGTTTAGTGTCCTTTAGTGTTATGTTGTGCCCTAAATTGTAATGTAGTGCCATTTAGGCTAGTAAAACTGATAATAATTTTATCTTATGGTAGTTGACTTTGTTCATGGCCATTTAGAGTAGTGTTACTTTAGTAAAAAAAATGTTGGAAACTAACATATGAAATATTAATATAGAAAATTTATCAACCTAAGTATCTGTTATATGAATAATTATTAAATTATCTTTGTAATTATTAAAATTAATTATTTAATTATCTGTTAACCCCAAAAATATCTGGAAAAAATGATAGTTCAAACATAAACTCTCGAATTTTAGTCAACAAATGTAAGAAAATAACATAAAAATAACAATATAGAAAATTTGTCAAACTAAGTATTTTTATATGAATACTTATTAACTATATCATGTATAGTTATGAAAATTAATTATTTAATTCTATTATATCCCAAACATAACTGAGTAAGAAACAAACATATAAAATAATAATATAGAAAATGTATTAACCTAAGTAATAATATATAAAAATATTGATTAAATATTAATATAAAAGATATTGAAATATATTTAAAGATGTTAAATAATTAAACATAAAATACTTTAATTAATATTGTTCAATTTACAGACATCGTCATGGAGGTTCTCCTTGTACATCCCGGACCTGCATCTAGAGAGCTACTGTTTTTACAGGGCAACCATAGGTCTTCACACATCTGGGATAGGCATTGTCTGTCCCAATCATTTCACCCCAGACGTATAGACGATATGTGAGAATTTATTAGGGACCACCCACTGCATCCCCGTATAGTTAGACGCCTTCAGGATACTGGTTTCTACAGGATCATAGAGCTCAGCCAGTTGCAGTTCGACTGGGCGTTGATCACGGCTATGATAGAGCGGTGGCGACCGGAGACGCACACATTTCATCAACCCATCGGCGAGACTACCATCACGCTTGAGGACGTGAAGGTTCTTTTCGGACTGCATGTTGATGGTATACGTGTAGCTTACCCGCATGCTCTTAGAGATTATAGGGGATTGGATTACCTTTATATGGTGCAGCGACTCAGCGGTTTCCAGCCAGCGGAGCCAAATACATTGAGTGGGGCCAGTCGATTACAGCTGACGCCCATTCGATAGCATTTGGTGGCGATGAATGTGGAGATTACGGATGATTCACCGCCAGAGGATATCGACCGACACACGAGACTGTTGTTGTTGCTAATATTTGGTGGTATATTGTTCCCGAACACTTCGGGAAACCTAGTCTGCTTGAGATTTCTACTTCATATGGAGCGGCTAGATGATTTATCTGGTTATAGTTGGGGTGCTGCTATTCTAGATTACCTGCATAGACAGATGTGCTGGGCGTGCATGGGCACCCAGAGAGACGTTCCCGGATTTTTACCGCTGCTGTAGGTGAAAACATAGTCAATTCTTTTCATGATTATAACATACATAGTAAAAAAAATACCTTAAATTTTACGTCCATAATCTATATTTGGTTTGGGCCTGGGAGCGGTTCCTGCAGTTCCTGCCACCTCTACCACGGATCGCTCAAGATGCACCACCTCCATTGTTTCTCCCTTTAGCTTGCAGGTGGGTTGATAGGCGAGGCTACGCACGCGAGGTCGAGGCTCGACATCATCTCCCTTATTACAGGGATTTGTTGGATTTACTTAAAGGCGCGCATGTATATATATACTTAAGTTTACTTGGCCTGGCTTGATATGTGTTGCGTTTACTCATGATTCTTGTCACTACCCCAAATTTCCTCTGTATGAGGTCGTGATGGAACCTAGTTTCTAAGACTAGGTAAGCCTATCAATGCGAAATAATCATAAATATCTGAAATAAATAAACTACCATTCAATTAATTTCATCTCCCAAAACCCGGTAGAAATAAGTCACAAGCTTCTATGAATTTATTCTCTATGTCTCTATATATTGGAGTCTAAATCAAATAAGGAAGACAACATAGTAAGATAGAAGGAGACTCCGGAGTCTGCAGACGCTGGCAGATATACCTCGAAGTCTCCTCGTTCAACTAGTTTACTGATGCCTGGTCTGAAAAGGTGTACCTGGATCTGCACAAAAAGATGTGCAGAAGCGTAGTATGAGTACACCACAACGGTACCCAGTAAGTGCCAAGCCTAACCTCGGTAGAGTAGTGACGAGGTCAGGTCAGGCTCTACTGGAAAATAATAATAGTATGGTAAAATGTTAACAATATAATAAAATAAATGACAATGGAATGAATTAAGTAGCAGGTCACCATTTAATTACATACAATAATGACAATTAATATCTCGTGGAAACAAACAAAATTTCCTTTCAACCTTAAGAAAATCACAACAAATAATCAAAGGCAATTGTGGCCATAAATCAATATCAATAAGGGCACTCCCGAGGTACCTCCTTGTAGTCCCAAATCATAAATAAATTCACAATATCTCATTTTTTTATCTCACCGCGGGAGTCTTTACAATTTATTTTAAAGAAAATATTTTTTTCGAAATAGCATCCCGTGTTTTAGCCATCCTTATCACATCGCATGACTTCTAGTAGTTCCTCCTACTAGCCACGCGTATCAAGCCACCCTTATCTCACCGCATGCGTTTCAATACCCAGACCTTATACCACCGCATGCGTATCAATATCACAATATATCACAATTTGCACCTCAAGTGCTCAAATAATTTAACTTACCAAAATAATTCAACAATAATGTTTTTCACAATAAAGAGCTCACGGCTCATGCCAAAATAAATCATCAATAATAGTTTTTCACAATAAAGAGCTCACGGCTCCATCACAATGAGTACGAAAATCTTACAAAAATATTCAGGAATAAATAATTCAGCAAAATAATATTTCAAAATCTTTAATACGTTGCTTCAATATTAAATTTAAAATGTCAAATACTTCATATTAATAATATTTATTTTAAAGAAAATCAATCTTTAAATAATGTACAGAATAAAAGAAACCAAGTTCCAACTAAACAGGTAAAACAATTAGCAGGAAAAAAGGCCAAGCAAATTTAAAGTATATAAATCAAATCAATGATGGAGAATATAATAAGATTTAATAATTTAATTAATATGCAACAGTGATATACTCAATATAAAAACATAATCCTTCACATTTAACCCGTGTACACACTCGTCACCTCGTATACATGACTTTCATCACATTACAATTAATACCAATTCTAGGAAAAGTTTTTACTACACAAGGTTAGACAAGTCACTTACCTCGACTTGATCCAATTTAATCAAGTAATATGCCTTTTCCTCGATTTTTCGACTCCGATCGACTCGAATCTAGTCATAATTAATTCGATACAGCTAACAAAAATTAAAGGAATCAATTTCATAAAAAGATACTATATTTTTCAATAAAATCCGAAATTAACTCAAAAATTGCCCGTCGGATCCAC